GCTTTGTCGGCGGTGCATTTACGAACGTCGAGTGCAGGCTCTCTCTCGACTGCAGCCTCGCAGGAATGGCGTCGCCGCTGCGACGTTACCGTTCGACCCTTGGGTAAAATGTCACGTCGGTCACAAGACGTCGACGACTACCAAGCGCGTTGCTTACTCTCCGCTTCATCGCCTCGGGGCCAAAAAGCACGCGACAGAAAGAGATTGCAGATGCAATTTTATGCCACGACCACGCGAGACCCGTACGTGAAACAGGGGCGAAGATTGCCATCGAAAATCGAGTCGGCGATCATTCCGAACGCGTTTAACCCATCGACCGAATTTCAACGATCGCGAAATTCGTACGATACTTGGTACGATACTTTGTTCGACGAGAAACTCGAACACAGTATGGGCTGTTCAGTCCTCGCAGTACGCAAAATATTCGCAATGCGATTTTCATTTCTCTGAAAATGAAATTTTTTACTTCCGTTCTTCTACAATCTCTGCTTGAACTTTCACCCCTTCTAATGTAATGAAACGTCACAAGTTTCCGTTCTTCTATCTACTGTTCGTTGTCTTCTTTTCAGAAATATCCACTGCAGCTTCATTTGACAACTGACAGTAATTGACAATATAGAAAGAAGTAGACAGTACATTCTTTTCAGTTCAGGGAATATTTTAATATTATAAATGGACGATTTTTAGAGTGACAAAGACGAAATATATGTGATATATTTTCTGGCAAGCAAGCTACTCCACAAAAATGTATGAATTTTCTTCTTCTCTATTTATCGTAAGATCCGTGCTACGATCAGGATAATTTTAATTCCGAAATCAGATGTTTATTGATATTAATCTAGCAGAAAGATAAAGTACGAAGAAGTCTGACGATTTGATGCTTTTCAATTGTATTTTTAATATTAGAATTAACAAAAGTTTTAGAGATTTCAACGTTTGCATTTTAAACTTCATCCCCTTACACCTCCATTTCTCTAATACGAGTGTCACACCTTGCAATTAGCAATAGATAGTATTTCTTTTTTTTTTTTTATCAGTGAGATTGAATCCTCGAGCAAATTTCAGTCTCATCGTTATCGATTCAATTATTTCGCAGACGAAGACGTCGTGCAATCATCTGCCGTTCTTTTTTAAATTATTGTTGGTAATGGTTCGAGATTATTCCGCAGACTAGCGAACAATTACTTCACTCCTTTTCTCAACGAGCGTGACAATATCGCGGAGTGGCGAGTTCTCATGGTCGGAGGCACTCGAGGCTGTCGAGGAATTTAAAGAAATAAATTGCCGCCGGCGAGTGTACAGACGTTTCGAAGGTGGAACGAGAGAGAGAGAGAGAGAGAGAGAGAGAGAGAGAGAGAGAGAGAGAATATCGAGTGGCGATGTGCATCGGAAGTGACCGATTACCCATCAATCTGCGGTAATTACCATTCCACAGGCACTGAGTGCTTCGTTTCGTTTCGCAATATTCATAGAGTCGATCGATCCGCGACGAACAGGAATCACGAACAACGAAACGTACGAAACGATCGGACCGCTCGCTTCGCGAATAATCAACGGCAATCTCCTCCCTTCCCCACCCGCCTCGATAAGAAATTCTATCGCCCGCGCGCCGTATTTATTCCTAAACAATCAACTCCCGAACAAATTAACAAGTTCTCTTCAACGCAAACTACCGATCCGTGCTTCGCCGTGGAACGCTCGGAACACGGTGAACGAGACCGCAAACCAAGAACACCTCTCCAAACAACAATCCACCCTCTTCCTCCTCGCGGAACAGAAGCAACAAACTAAACGAGGAATAAAAAAAAAAAAAAAAAAAAAAAAACGAAGAGAGACACGACGAAACGTCAAAATTAATCAGAAGTATCGAACATTGGCGGGAGTCGGCTACGGGATGGGGAAATATCGTCGGGACGAAAACCGGATACTTTCACAAGCATCACAAAGAGACAGCACGAGGGGTGGAGAGAGAGCGCATCGATTTTCAGCCTTGAATTTACGATCCTCAGCGGCGCAACTTCTCTGCGGTTCGTTCGTCACCCATCCTTCTTTCATCCTCTTTCATTTCTCTTCATCGTTTCTCTTTCTCTCTCTATTTCCGTTTTTTTTCTCTCTCCTTTTTCCTCGGGAAAATCGTGTTTCTCGACGTGGACACACAGGCCCAGCGCACAGACAGAGCGGCGTGAGATCGAGACAATAAGCAATCCTTCGGTCGAGGAAGAGGGACAGATTGAAAAAAAACAAAGTGAGAGAAATAGAGCGAGAGAAAGAAAGAGAACAGAGCGGGACAGAAAATATGGAAGAAAGGGGGAGAAAAAAGAAAATGGCCCGGGTAAATTCGACGGAATATCGAGTTGGCAGATATCAATGGGAGAAGAACGGGCCACGTGTGTTCGTGTGGACGTGGGGTCGAAACTCGTCCCAGATTCGGAATGTGGGTCGGGTCAGCTGCATCCGTGCATCCCCCCCGGGGTATGGCCGGGTGCTGCTGCACAGCGCGCACGTATTCAATGCACTTGCAGCCTCGGAACACGGTCATACGTGACAGCCGCAGCTGACCGTCACGCGTCGAATTTGAATTGATAATTCGTGTAATTTCTGGCTGGCCGCTGTTGATATAAGGCCCGTAATAACGGGACGGACGATTAATTACGAGGAGTCCCCTTTCTTTGACGTACGAATCCGCTTGTCGAGCATCCGCTTGACAATGACGAGTCTAACTTTCGCGGACGGCACACGCGTGCTCGTGACACCGATGGAAATTGTTGTTCGCCGTTGTGTGCGGATTGAGAGCGCCGCGATCGATCGCCGGGTGATGACTCGTTCGGTACGATTATATTTTTGAAACGTCGGGGATGATACTTTGACCTTTATTTCCTCTTGATTTCGACGTTTTAAGGAACGTATGTTATAAAAGTAGATGGATCTGCGTAACACATTTTCATAAGTTTGACTCGATATTGGACAACGCAGGATTGGTTAGAGATGCACGGAATAAATTTCTGCGGTTAATTACACATATGGGATTTTAATAAATAAATAAATGAAATTGCATCTCAACGCGTGTCATTTTCAACGCATACACAAAGCTCTGTTTCATGTATTTCTTACGTGGTCTTTAATCTCTTGCGATGGAATTTTTTCTCCCCAATTGTAACAGTTCCTCAGTTTCGAGTATATTTAAATGTAACCCAGGCAAAACAAATGACAAGTTTATTACTTCTTGATAATTTCTATCTAGTGACATTACATCGACGAGTTCAAAAAAAAAGAAAACGACGAATTATCGTATAATATGATTTGGTCACTCGTTATGGTCCGCGAGTCAGTTGACAACGCAAAGGGTTAATTCCTTTACGCGGTATTACACGTGTATCGAAAAGAGAACACGTGATTCTATAATATCTACGCGTTTCGTAGTATGTAGTTTAGTATACGTAGCTCGACGCGGCAACTTCCGGCTCCCACTCGAGAATCACATTGACGCGTCAAAGAGAACCCGATAAAAAGTTGCCCGCCTAATCGATTTATCGCGAAGTTTCTCGAAAGGGCTAGGGAAGACACGGTTGGCGAGAGGTAAATCCCGTTTTCCAGCGCCTACGTAAACCGGGACCGGGAACCGTGGGTTACGGAGGTGTACGGGCGCGGGGAGGGAATCGTGGGCGGCGCGGAGTATCGCGGTGGAATACTGCGAGGCAGCTTCAAAAGTTGCCAGTTAAACGACGGAGTTAACTTCGTTTCGTTGTTTGCGCGAACCGCAAATTTCCTCCAGTTACTCAGACCCGGAGCCCCGGTGCCGTTATAATCACGTGGATGTACGTGTTACTGGGGCTCGAACAGCAGACAGAGAGAGGAGAGAGAGAGAAGGAGAGAGAGAGAGAGAGAGAAAGAGAGAGAGAAGGAGAGAATCACTCGGTCGTTCTCGTTTGTCCCGTTTCTATTCGCGTGACAACTTGCTTCTCGTTCCTTGTGCTTCATTCGCGATAAACGAAAGAGAGAGAGAGAGAGAGAGAGAGAGAGAGAGAGAGAGACAGAGAGAGAGAGAAGGCGTACAACCGGCTCCGCAGCATCGCAGCTTCTATCTACCCCTGCTCGTTTCCTATACGCTGCACTCTCCGTCTTACAGCGGCAAGTCGCTTGAATAGAATTATATTGATAAGGCGGCCGCTTTCGGGAATAATTGAATTTAGGCTAGTAACGCCGAATGTTCGACGGATACTGTTATCTGTTTCGGCGCAATAGCTTTCTACAGTTGTTCTTTCAATATCGGTTTGCTTCGCAAGTTTCTCATTGATTTCTGCTTTCTCGAGGGTCGAAGGAGGGGAGGGCTGTTTGAGGATGATGAGAAGTTTCGACGATCGCAGGTTTCTTTTCCGAACGCTAATTGGAACAAAATTATATTGATCGGGGGGATAAGTGAATTCAGATTAATACGCTGGACGTTCGATGCTACCTTGTTGGACACAATTTTGCATTTTATAATTTTGTAAGGGTATTCTCCCAACTGCGAGAGAACTGTTTGGAGATGACTGTAGATTTCTTTTCGAACATTAATTAGTAAAAATTACATTGATAAGTGAATTAATTAGATTATAAAGTTGGATGTTTAGAGATAACGATAACTTTTGACAGTCGTAAATATCCTCCTTTTGAAATGTAATTGAAAAGAAGCACGTGTGCGTTTAAACAGAATTATACATTATACCGAGAGAGGAAAACAATTTAATTTATACTACCACGTACGTTAAATATTCGACGGGTATTGTCATCTAATAACTTTATGCAATCGTCACACGTCTGATGGCTTATCTTTTCGTTGTTCGACGACGTATAATAATTTTGGATCAATTTGATCTGTCGACGAGAGAGATTTAAGAAACGAAAATGAAGAAATGGCGAAATGGTAAGAGAATCATCCACGGATGATGAAAACGTCTGACGTTCGCAAGCGTTCTTGTTCGGAGAGGTAACAAGAAAGATGCTCTCGCTGAATGACTCACCTCAGGATTGCAGATCTTGTATTTCGTGCTCCACGATCTACCTTTGCACGGTTTCCTTCTGCAGCGCCTCTGCTGTCGTGAAATCCCGCCACCGCAACTCCTGCGAAGTAGAGCGAGCATAATTAAAAAAAAAAAAGAAAGAAAAGAAGAAAAGAAACAAGATAGTAATGGATTAACAAGGGACGTAGACGCAATTTTTGACGTCGATTCTCCCCGTTCGCGAAAATATCATTTTTATATAAACACGTGGGGAGGACTCAGAGTTTCTACATTCTTTGCTGCGTTACTTGAGTTTTTGCGAGGACAATAGATCTTCTTTGGATCTATCTGACTCGAAAGAACATTATATTTCAATAGATATTGAAATAGACATAGCTCTGGTTTTCATATTCTCAATTGAAACATTTGGTTTTAATACGTTCCATTTATAGACATCCGAGACTTTGAACGTGATGGAAAAGTCGAGGAGGACAACATTAATTGAGATCAGACGAGCCAGAAAAATGAGAGAATATTGTATTCTAGTTCAGAGAAAAATGTATTCGGCGTATATTCAAGGTATATATTACTGTATGCTTTGTGTTTCATTCGTACAATTTCCATGTTTATATATATATATATATATATATATAAAAGAGAAAAGGAAAAAAATACAGCGCGAAATTAGGACGCGTAACCGGTAAATTCGAAGCAACGAGGGAAATCATACGGTTTCCTTGATCGCGAATGGCTCGTTTCGAGAATTTAAGTGGCACTTGCGCTTTCGGTACACACGGGTCGGTAGCTCGATAGCAGTCTTGACGTCATTACTTGAAATTTGTTTCAAACGTGGCCGCGCTTTAAAACTTGAAAGCTACGGGTGTGTGTGTGTGTGTGTGTGTGTGTGTAAGAAGGAACACGCGTAAACGAGGAAACGTTGATTAAACGAACGGGGGTGATCTTTAATTTTCGCGACAACGAAACGTTTCGAGGAACTACTTTCACAAGTATCCCCCTTCCTGCTTCTTAATCGTCCACTTTCTATTTAATTACTAATTAACGAAAGAAAATTGGAGGTCCAGAGTATCTCAAACAAATCTGCCCGAGTTATTTGAATATTGCAGGTGAACTTGCGTAGCTTCTACGTTTTCATTTCGTTTTCTTTACTTTTTTTTTCTTTTTTTTTTTTTTTTTTTTTCATTACTGTAATAGTTTCTTTTTTCGCTGTCAAGCGTGAAAAATAATACTTTATAAACGTCCACCAGTCTTAGTCTGATACGTTCCTGCCTTTAATACCGGACTGGCAAAATGAAAATTCATTCGACGAGATTTGGTGCCGTTCCGATTGAATAAAGTTTCGGTCTATTTCACTCCGGCGATTTCGAGATATAAATAATGCGTTCAAATTAATTAAATTTAAGAGAACTTTCACTTCGGTTTTCATTTTATCCACCGTCACGTTATTTCTGTTTCAATCATGCACTTTGGCACGCGATATTTTAAATCCCATAAAATATCACACAGCGGAATTCTCTGAATATTTCTCCAATACACGTACTATTTCTAGAACCTTGAAGCACATATTCTACAGTTGGATATAATTCTATCTTATCTGTCGAGTTTCCACGAAGATGTAACTGAGCTAATTGGAGCTAAAAAGTATCAACTGGAGATGAATATTATATCAATATCACTTGGCAAGGTGGTAAAAATAAAAACCGGGCGGTGATTTTGTTTTTCCCATCGCCATCGATTTTAAAAATTTTAATAGCTATATTGAGGGAGGGAACACGAACGAAGGTTTAGATGGCTGGCCGCGTCGAATGTACGGCACCGTACATCATACAATAAGCTTCTCCGGGAGGGCGAGCGCAGTTCACCAGTGGTAAGCGTCATAAATTATTTGCTAGCGCAGTCTGGGCCGTTTCTGGTCGGCTGAAAAACGAGCTAGCCACTCCGACAGCCGCCACCGGAACTCCACCGTTGTCGAAATGAGTTCTGAAACGTTTAACATTCCAGCAGCGTGTTGGCGCTGCGACGCGATACTCGCTCCTTCGATCCGTTCTGTCTCGCGATACTGAACCACTTTGCCATACCGAACGACACCATTTTCGACAGTTACGTTACGTTCTCGCTACAAATTGGGGCACGTTTGTAACCAGAGGTTGTACCTCTGTCAGAATAAATCAAAGGACGATGTAAAGCCTTTTTTTACAAAAAGAAAAAAGAAAAAATTTCCTTCGAAATGCCAAGAAATTTGTTCCATCCATTAAAACACTTTGGAATAATTATCTTTGTATCATCGCGACTGTTATAATTGTCGTTGTCACGTATTTGGAAAGTTAATCGGGCAGATTCATATTCTCGTAAATATAAACGCAATGAAGATTTGTTTGTTTCGGTAAATATCACGAGTATAAGTCCGTTTTTTTTTTATCGATCGACGTAGTTACATAAATGACACACAACGATTACAGTATTTCCGTAAGCAGAAACTGAGTCACGACAGTGAATGATGAAACTGTTCTTTAGCTTTACGTTTAACAATAAACATTTGATAAAACCGTGCTCTTTAAAGGTTAATATAAGCAAACACGTAACGCAGTCTGCGACATGTTCAAGAAAATGTTATCTAACAGCGATCGTAATGGGAAAACTCGAATCACGTCATTCGGATTCAGTTTCACAACGAATGAGTAATGACCAAATAACGGGGTCAGATGTGATTGTCGTCACGGACAATTATTTACGTACGATGAGTTGGTGAAACAAATTCGTGAAACAGTAGATTGATCAATTTGTCGGGACGTTTACGTAAATGTTTTATCAAAACAAATGGCATGCACGTGTTTAAATTCAATATTAAATCATATTAATTTTTGAGAGAGTTTCATTTAACCGTGTCGTTACACTCTGTCAAAGTTAACTAGAGAATCATTGCAAACCGATTCATCCGTGAATTTTATAATTAAATCACACGTTTCCAAAAATAAGCAATTACATACTGATTAATGTATTCGATTGAATTTAAAGCGTTGGAAATTACCTCGAGCAACTGGACCATTTGGACCATGGTGACCATTCGCCCCACGCGACGCTCTGAAAACAGAAAAAAAAAGAGAACAGAATAATTCCGTTGGTATTCTTTCGCTTTCGCGAGGAAACAATTTGTCAAACTCGTGATTAAATTTGTACAAATGAAACGGCCGTTCTCGCGAAACGCGAATCTGGCAAAATTCAGTTCATTGTTATTATTATTGGTGGCGAGCGGACATGTTTGTTTTTGGGCTGAATTTAAATCGGTGCTGTCAATCGTTATGTGTCTAGTGTCCACCGAATCGCCTGTATTTTTCGAGTGGTGGATTTCTGCAGTGACCGCAAATGCTTCTTGCAGTCTGCTGTTTTACAGACCAGTCGATTTCGATTTTAATACATTGTACCATTTTCACAAAAACATGATGACGGAACAATTACGTGGACGAGTGAAGCAGAAGCAAGCAATATAGTACATCGAAACTTATTATTTATAACATCAAAAAAAAAATATTGCATCCGTTAACATCGTAACGTGAAAAAATAAATTTTTGGTCAGTTTATTCACCATTCGTTTTAACCTTCATTTTATGTATTTCATTCATTCACTATTTTACGTAGATCTGTGCTTTGTATATTGTTTATTATATACATTTACGTTGTAATATCTCTGTGTCTATCGCCATAAAAATTGAATGCTTACCGGTGTACGCGAATTAAAGACGAAATTTAAAAAACGGCACGCGTGTTTATCATTTCACGCGAAAAATCCGACGTTCAATTATACGGCGCGTCGAATTAATCGCGGATCGTATTTCGCCCGGTATCGTGTTCCCTATTTTCGCCTGTGTTACTTTTAACGAAATTGGAGGATCCGTCGCGAGCGAATGAATTCGATTAAACGCCGCCAGTATGCACGGAAATATTCGATGGGTAATTAAATCAGCCCTCGTGAAATTGTTGGACGATTAATCCGCGCAACGACAAATCTCCTCGCTCCGCCAGCTGTTCCCGTTTGTTAAATATTTCTTGCCTATGCTCGCGATTTACGAACCAAAAAAAACCCTTCGACGCGTGAATTTTATTCCGGTTGATCGCTGCGAAGACTGCGTTTAATCCAAGAAATTGCTGCTTTTATCCCGAACGAATCGTGATAAACATGAATGACATATGACGGACGAAGGCTTTTGTTCAAGCCTTTGAATTAAAGTCGCGAGACTTTAATGGAATCTTCAAATACAGATAATCCAATGTTTTTTTCTTTTTAAGTAGCGCGTCAATTCAATTGCTCCGTTTTTAGGGATAGATCTATTAAAGGAACGATCGACAATTAGTTTTCTTCAAATTCTCCCGTTTTCACGCGGTGTACGGTTCATTCGGTACTTCTTGATTATTAATTATTAACTCATTAAGAACCGAGCAATAATATAAGTCATTATAACGTTAAAAATATTACAACCTCTTGAATCTTCGTGAAATAATAGAATTTACGTGAATCGAAAATATTAAATCAGTTCTTTCCAATCTCCGATATTAAAAAAAAATAGAATTCAACAATATAAATTAATTGAAGTGAAATTGAAACGTAATGAAATTGACTGAACTGCGAATGAAATGTTACGATAACGTAAGGTCGATTCTTAATAAGATAGTAATGCAAATATATCTTTCGTAAAGAAGATACAATGTACTAGAATTAGGAATAGCGTGCAAATGTATTTAAGAATTCCTGAATTAGAAGAATGTAATTCGTCGAATTCCTTTACCACGTAAATAAAAATTCAATGAATGACAAAACATATTCTCACTCGCTTGTCGACTTCAAATCGTTACAACTTCGTGAAAGAAACTTTATTCTACTGTTCACTTTTTTCGAAGATGTTTTCTACACTAAGAGAACAATTTTCGTTCTCGGAGATTGTAAAAGTTCCAGTGTCTCTAAAATCATTGACAAATTTTTTTCATGACAAGATCCATGACAATCTTAAAGATCGAAGTCTCTCCTTTTCGCAACGATTAAAGACTCTCGTTCCTCTGAAACTTGTACGGTGTTTTTCTGCCACTTTATCGAACTTTGAACATTAGGCTCAAGTGACGAAACGTTGGAATTTCTTGACTCTTGTCTCGCGAAATTGTCTGACGATTTAACATTAGAACTAGCAAAGTGGTCAATATAACCAATTTCTAATTTCTGTTAGACATTTTAGTCGTGCGGTGTCCTTTTTTTAAAGATTTAAATAATTAAATTTTTCGTAGTATACACAAATAAAAGCTTGTATACAAAGTTCCTGTACTTTTTGGACTCCGATGTCTCTGATGAAAATTTTACGCGCTAATCGTGGGTGGTTCTAAAACACGGATGATTCTTCATCGAGCGTGTGCTCGTTGTACGTTTGATTTCAATAATAAAATCAATGACGCAGCTCGCTTTATTCAAAGGAAACACGATGAGAAATGGCGAACGTTCGATCGGTCGTATCGCGTGTGTGTCGAGAATCGCGTGCAGAGAGAGAGAGAGAGAGAGAGAGAGAGCTTGCCGATAAAAGTGGCACCGGTAAGAACACCGATACATCAAAGTATTTAGCGTTTCCGCGCGGCGTGGAAACAGAAAAATCTCGTCCGCGGAACGGGCCGACAGGAGTTGGCTTACACATCGATATCCCTCTCGGAGCAATAAGTTCACCTCAGTGCGAGACGTGATAAAAATTTCGGTGCCCCTGTTGCGAAATGCTCGGCACGTTCGGCGGGCCGAACCGAGCGGATTTCGAAAATTCACTTTTACCAGTCGGCTCGAGGCTCGTTCAGCTGAATTTCTGTTCTGGATATTTCGCATTGGCGATCACCGCTTTAAGAATCTGCGGAAAATAGTCTGGCCCAACGTGTTGGCCGCATGCGCTAGCAACTGAATTTGCGGACCGTAACGAGTGACCAAATCGTATATACAATAATACGTCGCTTCCTTTTCGAATTCGTCGGTATGATATCACTGGATGGAAAATTATTGAAAAGTAACAAATTTATTATTTGTTTTGCCTTGTTAAAACTGAGAAAATATTGCAATTTTGCACGTCATTCCAGCGCCAAGAGGTTATTCTTCTTCTTAAAAATACACAGAAATGTATATATTTGACTGGAAAAAGTAGCTGCGAGTAGTGGCTGGGCGGGGAAAATATCGGCGATTTAACATCGACGCCTCGTTCCCGTTTTATGTCACGTTAGATAGAATTCCTACGGAACATATTGTTAGCTTTTCCACTTGTTCACCGCTCCGAAATAGAAAATACTCGCGTCACGTTTCCCGATCGCGGCGAGCTTAACAAATACAAGCCCGTTCATCCTTTCCCCTTCGTAACGAAGTTCGTTTAGTTATTGCCCTCAATTGTTTCGGGCCGGGCGGTTTTCAATTTTTGAGGAACGCCTGGCGCACACATGCCCTGCACGCCGCGTTCCTCCTGCAATTTCCACTCCATGCCACTCTTTCAGAACTACGAAACTCGAACCTACGCGCGCACGTACACGTTTCTGCGTGTGCCACGAAGAAACAAATAAAAGGTCGTTTGAAATTTCTCGCGCCAACTTTGGCAAAAAATATAGGTGACAAATTTTATTACGCGTAACTGTGGGCGTGTTAATTCGACAGTTCGTAGAACGATTCGCGAAGAATGGAGACACTGCGGATAATTTCAGATATTGCCTTCGGTGATTGATCAAAGAAACTTGTCGTTAATTAATCGTATATCGGTCGGCGACGTCTATTAAAATTCACCGACCGCTAAATGCACGTAGAAATCGTTAACACGCGGTTCGTGGCCAGCAGGGGCCGAAAAAAAATTATGGAATACCTTCTTTTCCATCGATCGTTCGCTCTCTTTAGCCGAGCTACCCGATAATGAGCTGTTGTATCGACTTTCGGCCGAGAAGAGAAAGAGGAGGCAGGAGACCGGCAATTAATCCTTTTTATTCTGCTGCCGCTCTTAGCGCCGGATCGACGGGAAAGGAGGACACATCATCAAGGAAAAGAGGACAAAAGAAAAAAAAACCCCGAGTGTCCGAAGAAAGGAAAGATCGAAGGGCTGAAATTTCATGAAAAAATAATTCGGCAAACTGAGGAAAGTTACGGTGAAAGAAATTAAGAAGAAAGAGAAGAATGACAGACGGCGATAAAGAAGTAATCGAGCGGACCGCTTGTGGACCAAAGTTTCCACGAATCGGTCTCGCAATCAGTCAGAAGCTGAATTTCACGAAAAACCAAAGCTTCTCGCCTGTTTAATCCGTACCGTAACAAATTTTTCCGCTTGTTTGCCGGTGGCACGTAGGGTTGATTACATTGCCCCCCCCCCCTCCTCCCCCGACGCGTTTAATCCTGGACGCGAATACGGCGATCAAGCGTAATGGGCGATAATTTCACGCTCGAGTAAATTATAATGGTGCAAATTTGAGTGGCCGAGCTTGGTCTAGCTCCTCTTCATTCTCCCGCTAATTGACCCATTCTTTTCCACTCTGTTTTCATTCTTCCATCCACCGCGCGATCGATCGATACACGCAGATAGTAAATCGTCACGAGTCGCAAACGAAACGGATAATACGAGAGCGAAATGCTTAAAAAAAAAAAAAAAGAAAAACTTCACGTACAAAAAAAAAAATCTCTCCAAAATACTTTTCTCTCCCCCTGTCCATCACGCGACTGTGTGTCAATCTCAGCGGAAGGAATCAACGTTGGAGCAATCCTGCCTCGATTTATCTTCGAAGGACACACGCGCGTAATTGACGAGGGACACCACGGGAATATCTCGGGCAAAAATACGACGGACATTTTTAACAGAATTTTTTTTTTTCTTTTAGCTGCCCCTCCCCCCTCCTCCACCCCCCTACCACTCCCAACCCTCGTCGATGCGCGTTTTGCCTCATCGTTGAATTTTCGCGAACACGAGTTCGGTTTTTCGTAGGAAATTGTAATTGAAGCATCGACCCGGACGTCGCAGCGCGGACGATACGGCTTCCCTCTCGAAAAACGGTCGCCTCGTTTATCTTCGCACTCGAGCTGTACGTCGGGCGCGACGTTATTT